AATAATCATCATAATAACAGAAAATTAACTGCATCTTTACTCCCCTAACCTAACCAACCTTATCTAACCTAATGTACAGTATCTGAAAAAAATATCTGCCAGGATGGGTCTGATGACTTCCGAAATGCTCCAAATGCCCCGGGAGGGCCGGTACGCATGGCTGTGGCATAATGATCCTACTACATTTGGTAACCGAACATCATGTTAATTACACCATAATAAATACACATTGCATTACTTATGTTATACTATACAGGGAAGGAACACGCATATCCCAATATCTACCATATCTGTCACACAGTGTGGACAGGTAATTTTTTGGAGATACTGTACACATACTGTAGTCTGCTTTTGATTCCCTCTCCCCCTCCTCCATGATAACTCTAACCTTCTTTCACCATCTCCATTCTTCCCTTAGAATGTCTCTTTCTGTCTCTCTTTCTCTTATCTTTCTTCCCCAGGATCTCTCACTTTTCTTACTCTCTCTTTCCTTCTCATAGAATGATTCTCTCTCTCTCTCTCTCTCTCTCTCTCTCTCTCAACATAGGTTGGTTGGATATATGAGCGATAGGGGTTGGGTGTATACGGGACTGCCTAATATGGGCCAATAAGCCCGCTGCAGTTTCCTCCATTCTCATGTTCTTTCTACCGTGTACAATTCTTCCTCTCCTAGAAAGTCTCTCTCTCTCTCTCTTCCTCTCTTCCTTTTCTGCAATGTCTCTCTTTAAAATGTTTCTTACTCCCTCACCATCTCACTCCCTTCCCTACAATAACTCTCCTCTCTCACTGCCCAAGAATATATTTTTCCCTCCCTCTCCCAGAATGTCTCTCTATCTCTCCCCCCTCTCCCAGAATGCCTCTCTATCTCTCTATCTCTCTATCTCTCTGTCTCCCAGAATGTCTGTCTATCTCTCTCCCTCTCCCAGAATGCCTTTCCTCTCATTCCTTCCCTATAGTGTCTCCCCTCTCTCTCTCTCTCTCTCTCTCTCTCTCTGTCTCTCCTTATCTCTACCATCCCCCTCATCAGTAGCTTTATCTCTCCCTCCCTCCCTCCCTTTCTTCCTCGCCTCACCGAATTCTCCCTCCCTAACATTCCCTCAGTGTCACCAAGGACCAAACTCAACACCTGCTCGTCGTAGCTACACCACACCTGCTTTCTGCTACAGGTGTCTACGTGTGAGCACCTGCTGCCACTTATACAGGTGCATATTTTCCCAATTTTCAATGTCATAATGCGTCTATTTTTACCCATTTCCTAGTGTACTGACATGTCTGTATTTGTTCACATTTCCAGTTAGCTGACGTTTGTACAGTATACCTTCCCCATTGTGCTGACACATGTCCACCAGTTTCCGGGTGAGGTGGCGTGACCTACTGTACACTACCCCTGGTTATGATGATGTTGGTAAATTCCATGCACGATCTATTACTGTGGTGTGTGTGTGTGTGTGTGTGTGTGTGTGTGTGTGTGTGTAATGAAAATAATAATAATAATAATAATAATAATAATAATAATAATAATAATAATAATAATAATAATAATAATAAACGGTTTTTTAATAGAGTTGCAGCCGGTGGCTGAAAATATACAAACTTACATGTGATTTAGACACAATAATATACGTTCAATACATTTACAGGGCTGTACAGTACATAAATCAGGATCTGTTTATTATTTTAACACTAGATGGGATGGTGCTATTTTTATATCTATCAGAGTGGGCTCTTATGGGCTGAATTTTGTTGTAGTGGCGGACTGCGCGAGGTGTGCGTGTGGTGTGTGCGTGTGTGTGTGCTTGCGTGTGTGTGTGTGTGTGTGTGTGTGTGTGTGTGTGTGTTGAACATGTCTCTGTATCCTCGCCTCCCCCAACGTTCTTATATTGGTCTCAAACTCATGGAAAATCCCTAACAACACTTAATACACGAATAACAACAGACTCGCCATCTCGCCAATCTTCACAGGGACACTGGCTTTTACTGGCAACACTCCTGAAACAATATCACACCAAAGTGGTTCTATAGCCAGTGTATTCTTCCCCAGCTGGCTACAACATGGCAGCCCTGTTACTAGTGCTTCCCAGATCATCCCCGTACAGCATGTCGTCATCGAAACACGTTCCCCACCCTGTCCCTCCCCTCGTAAGTCCCCTACTCCCATTCCACCTCTACCCACTCACCCCACAACCCTCACCCAGCTCCTATTCTTTTATCCCCTAACCCTCCACTCCGCCCCAACACCGTCACCCCATCCCTTTCCCCCCACCCCCTCTCCCTTCCTCTAACCGCCCCTGAGAGACCCACCACCTGGCTCACTACGAGTCTGCCACAGCTGCACGGAAGTGTCCTAGTACTAGTGTCGCCGCACCACTGCACTGTATTAGGTAATCACAACTATCTCTGGTACGTACACATGCGGGGCAGCTCCCTCAGTAGTGCCAACTCTTCCCGAAGGATATTTGGAGTCGTGTGGCCTTCTATTTCTTACCGACTATTTTTATATCCTTATTTGGGATTATTTACTGGTTCTTATAATGTTGATTTCTTACGTATATTGGTAAATGTTTTAGATGTGTAATATGAAACGTTATTAATGATTAGAACAATACACATCCATGAAATGTGGAAATTTGTGTATTTAAAGTGTGATAGTAATATTAGACTTTTGTTTTGGTATAAAGATGTGTCGTTTGAATACCTTGTGATTATCGGCGCATAAAATAATGGTCAGTAACAGCATCTTAGTCCACACCGATTTAATAATAGGGGAAGGTAGATTACTTTATTTACTTCTACTTTATTATCTTGGCTACTTGGCAGCTTACAAACACACTGTTGGGTCCCTTTTTATGACATTACAGTTCTAAATCTAATTATCAGTCACGAAGAACATTTTAAATTTAAGAAAAACCTAAATATCAACAAGGTTTTTGGTTTTTAGCTTTGAATTATTAACAGTTCACGTTTCCTTAAATATATTCTTCATCACTCTAGAGTCTAATAAAATATTACACGTGAGAGGTGTTTAATCTTATGAGGTTGGCGGCCTCAAAGGGTGTTCACGGGCGAAAAGTAGTTACCAACCACCATTTTGTGGGTAAGCTGGCAGGAGGAAATTCACAAAATCTAGCACACTGAAATACTTAATTTTTATAACAATGTGGCCCAGTGATGAGGACCAGATTTGGGGAAAATTTAAAACCCACGAGCAACGCTGCCACGTTTAAATATCGAGGTGCAATTTTGTTGTATTGTGGTGTAGATTTTTGCGATAGCAGGAACTTCAGGATACATCTTGGGCGAAAAAAAAATCGCTTTTGGGAGTAGAGATGATACAACTCATCACAACGTTCTGTCCTTATCAAATGTTGTCACTATCTTCATTGTCATAAGTCGTAACTTTTCAAATATTCCTCTCTATTAATTTCATTTGAATTGATAAATTATTAAATCAATATAATGCTTGAATACCTCGAAAACCTTTTAGATAGAATATATCTTAATTCACTCAACCTCTGTGAAAATTAATATTACATCATGCAATACGAATACACTACAGTACACACCAGCATCTTCCTCTGTGTCTGTGATATATACTGTAATTCACAGGTAAATACGGCGAGATATCAAAAAGACTTTCAAATGTGAAGAAGATTGTTTAGAAAAGTTTATATCTTATTTAGGTTCATCTACCAAGGCTGGTGGAGGGTCCCCCAGACATGTTAAACTTTTTTTGTGGTTGTTTACTTACCAAGGTTAATGACGTCGGTAGTTTTCGAGATAATGCTCTTCATATAATTAGTCATTTTTTCAAGGTCAACGACAGAGAGAATGTAGATAAAGTTAACCCTTGGAACACGAGATAACACAACTGTTTGACTGAAGGCGATAACCACAAGTGGGTTGGTTGCACGGTTATCATTTCGTGACACTGAGTACCAGGGATCTTGAACACTGATATCACTGTATGTCACTCACACGTTGAGATATTCACTCAGTAAGAACATAAGAATGCAGAGAGCCTATTGGCCCATACTGGGCAGCCCCGTTTACATCCAACCCCTATCACTCATTTTTCCGTCCAACCTATGTTTGAAGCTACCCAGTGTGTTCGAGTTAATGATGAAGTTCGGTAACTTGTTCCACTCAACCACTACACCTATTTCCACACCAGCGCTTACCTAACTTGTGCCTAAATCAAATTTTGTCTAATTTAAAACCATTGTTATGTATTTCATAATCTTGGAAAATGAATAACTTAAATGAATAAAAACAACAACAACAATAACAGTAATGGCGGGCTAACTAGACCATCCCAAAATCGGTCGCGTATATGATGTAATGACGCCGCTTCGTATTCTAACGTCAAAAGCGCTCACCAGAACCAGCTATTTTAATATGATGTGATAAATAAACAGTATTTTTGTGGATGAAATACAGTATAGTCCCCTCATGACGTAACACAGGAAGTGGCAACCTTTAGAGCCCCAGTATCCTGCCCCAGCTCATGTTGTTCTTGTGTTATATCGACTGGCCAGAGTACGAGACTTAGAAACCATTGTGTGATGTCGAATGGCCGGAGTACGAGACTTAGAAACCATAGTGTCACGTCGACTGGCCGGAGTACGAGACTTAAAAACCATTGTTATGTCGAATGGCCGGAGTACGAGACTTAGAAACCATTGTGTCAAGTCGACGATGCATTAACACTGGGAATTGCAACACCAAAATACATTACAAAAACAAACTCGTGGATGGATACCCAACCAAGCCAAATTATCGACAAAGGTTTTATTCAGCAACAAAAATACTCGGTGGGAGGAAACACGAGTAAATATAAACACATTTATTTTTACTCCATTCATTAATTGGTTACTGCTGTGAATGACGTATTGTGCTATGGTACCTCCCACCTTCCACAACAAGACCATTACATCTACTTCACCACTGTTGCTACACACAAGCCAACATTACTCATCATTTACAGAGAGACAACAGCTCACCTTAAATTCCGTTTGCGTGTGGGATTGTCCAGCACACACCAGTCACCACTTTCTTTTTGAGTTAGCTCCATCTGGTCCCACGGCAACGGACTCTTTTGCCTCTTCACACATTTCAGCGTTGGCGTCTATAAACTTGATCTTCTTTCCCATTACTTGTCCGAGCCGGTAACAGCAGCCGTCACAGAGGAATCTAGAAATGGTGAAAATCTTTAGCATTGTCTCTATCCTCAATTATTTTTCATAGTTTATTTAATTATGGTGAATTAGTATCTAAATATGGGTGATTGATTCTGTATAATTTAATATATAATTCAAATTTACGTAACTTTTCCGTTTTGTATTTTTAGATGGATAAAATTTTTGGCTGTGTTAAAGAGTCCAATACTCGCCATTCATGACCAAAATAATAGTCTAATCTTGGTCACCCTTGATTTGGCAGGCACAAACTCCATCAAACCTCAGCAAGTGGAAGACATCATGGTAACTCCGGGCAGATGATGGCATTATATACATTCATTCTTAATCTTCAATGTATCTCTACTGTATTAACTAAGACCAATGAACGAGGCTAAATAGAATCACAGAAAACACATCACAGGAATAAGAGTAACGGAAAAAAGTCACAGGAATGAGGCAGAAAAAAGTCAAAGGGAAAAAATCACAGGAATGATTCAGGAAAAGATCACAGGGAAAAATTCACCTCACCTATCCAACATTGTGATTTTTTCCTGTGGCACTTTCCATTTCTGTGACTTCTTCAGGTTAACGTCACATAACCGTGATAAATGAAACGCTCCAGTAAGACTCGGTATCTAATGTCGAGTGTTGTGTTGTTTCAAGGACAACTTTTATCACTGACACATTATCCTCATGATGATTCGATTTATATTTTCAACTTCTGGTCGTTAATTGTCGAAGGTTGAGGTTTGATTATCACTTAAGATAACTGTTTAAATAATACTTTCAGGTGTTTTTTTGTTGTTGTTGAGACTATGGGTAAAGATGGAATATGCAAATGAACTAATTACCTACTAGGTTTATTTACGTTATGATTACCTCGCCTCCCTAAACTTACCTCAGTGTCGGCCTGATTACCTCATCTCCCTAAACCTACCTCAGTGTCGGCCTGATTACCTCATCTCCCTAAACCTACCTCAGTGTCGGCCTGATTACCTCGTCTCCCTAAACCTACCTCAGTGTCGGCCTGATTACCTCGTCTCCCTAAACCTACCTCAGTGTCGGCCTGATAAACCTACCTCTCTGTCTCCCTAAACCTACCTCAGTGTCGGCCTGATTACCTCGTCTCCCTAAACCTACCTCAGTGTCGGCCTGATTACCTCGTCTCCCTAAACCTACCTCAGTGTCGGCCTGATTACCTCGTCTCCCTAAACCTACCTCAGTGTCGGCCTGATTACCTCGTCTCCCTAAACCTACCTCAGTGTCGGCCTGATTACCTCGTCTCCCTAAACCTACCTCAGTGTCGGCCTGATTACCTCGTCTCCCTAAACCTACCTCAGCGTCGGGCATTATCTAAAGTTGTACTCCTATTTTCTCTTACATTGTCCCACAACTTTAAATCATCAATAACACTTTAATTCATTCAGGTATTGAGAAATAAATTATAATCTACATTTAGAGGTATAATTTAGTTAACATCAAACTTGTACAAAATACTTACCACCGTCAACTGGTCTGGTTAACATGGCTGGACGGTACAGTGCTTCTATGGCGATATTGTCACCACGAAGATTATCACCAGTAATCAGTACAACTTATTTTTCGTTACTCAGAACTTGACTTTTTAGCATTTAGTTTATCTTCACTCAGTATGGGACCAACAGCCGGGAACCTTTTGTCGGCCATATACTCAAACACATAAAACACCTGAACTATATTGCATAAAATTGCTGCTTTCGGTAAAATACGAAATGAAATGTAATATGAAATAATCACAGAAAGAAACTTTACCACTAAACTTTCAAACTAGAACAAAAGTGAATGTGGTTTCAGTAGGCCTGACCGGTTAGGGCAGTGGTCCCCATCCTTTTGTAGGCTCTGGGCCACATTTATCATTGTAAATATAGAAGAGGGCGACAAAACTTTGGATCTGCATTAAAAAAAAATCTCATATGTACTGTACAGTTGTTTGCAGTTTTACACGTCTAACTGTTACCAGTTACATACTTTTTACATTTACTCTTGGACAGGACGTGTGTATTTACCACAGTGAGAAGACTGGTTCACTCTGGGCCCGGTATGTGGTACATGCACTCGTCCTGTACACGACAGTTGTAACAACTAATTACATATTTTCATTAATTTCACTCTTACAAAAAAATCATAAATAATTCACAATTTTCTAATAAACCTTCGCGGGCTCCATAATATGGTTCAGCTGGCGCCATGCAGGTTGGGAACCACTGGGTAGAGCAATGTGGATACAGCACATTGTAAATTTGCATAGAACATTAGAAAAAATGCCCCAGTTAGGTGTATTGTAAAACAACTGTCCTGAACCTTATAACACGGAGTCAAAATTACCCCGCTTAATATCTGTCGGAATATAGAAAATGCAGGACCATGAATTTTACCAGATGTCAGTACCACACACCAGATGCCTGGCCGGTATTTTTTTACCCCCACGGCTTTCTGAAAACTGAAGTATTTATATGACAAGCCAGACAATTTGCGAGGCGATAGATGCGATAAGCATGTATGAGATGGTGTGAGGAGGGTAAGCTGACATCACAATATACACAACCTACGTTTCAAAGCTTCACAGCTTGTCTTAATATTGTTGAATGGGTTGTGTGTGTGTGTGTGTGTGTGTGTGTGTTACTGTATGTATGCTTGTATGTTGCTGTATGTGCATGTTTATGTTTGTGTGAACCGTGTACGTACGTTCATGTGTGTTTATATATTTGTATGTATATTTGCTTGCATGTGCGCGTTTCCTAGAAGGCAGATACACTGCTATAGAATATATGACGTCATTCTCGGTCTGAGTCAGATATCAGGTTAATGATCTTCGTGGAGCTTCCAACAAGTCTGGCTGGGTACAGGGTGTCTCGCCGCTCCGAGTCACCAAGAAAACTAGACCTGCTAACTCTTAAGACATTTAACCTCTCTGATACATTACTAGTATATAGATGCTAGAATTCTGATGAAACAGTTTAAGTGACTTCCATTTTAACGAGTCATTTTCAGGTATTGTTAATATCTTTAAGATGACAAATGTTTTTTATTTATTGTGTTTTCATAAGAAGGGAATCATAAGGACAAGTGAAGATATTTGAATCACAAACCGTCTCCACTAAGTAATACTAAAGAACACTTCCTCATGTAATGAGAATATTCTCACATTATCAAATTTAATGTATTTAAAAATCATTTTATCCCTGACAAAATAATTTTCGGGTTGAAACAGAAAAACATTATTTACTGTATGATAAAGTATATTGCGCAGTCGTTCACTAAGGGACAACTAAGGGAAAACGCATAACAGCCATAATAATAATAATAATAATAATAATAATAATAATAATAATAATAATAATAATAATAATAATAATAAACACCTCACTCATTTTACAACTGTGCTTGCCCCATCGTTTCACTGAATAACTAAATGGGAGTATTATATACAGTAACCCCACACTAACGAAACGCCATCGTTGTCCTCTGTAAAAATGAAATTTCGTAGTGAAAGATACCGGGCATTACAGTGGGGATGCGGGTGTGTCAGGCTGACAAGACAATGCATTTATCAAGGGCGCTGAATGATTTGAATAATTTATTCTCCCCTGCGTGGGAAGAAGAGCCGGAGAGATATATGGGGAGATGTGGGAGAGGCTTGTGGGAAAGGGATGCTGTTAAAAATATAAATTCATGAGTCTTTTTTATAGGGAGAAGAAATGAAGAGATAAATAGTACGTAGAAGAAAAGACACTTTGAGAGAGGCATTGTTGTAGTCAAGATCATCCTATCCAAATTCATATCAGGCATTAAAGTCAGACCGATTAAAGTCGAGTCTAACCCCAGTCCCCCAGTCCAAACCCTCTCAGAGTTCAAGTCCCGGTCCAAACTTTTATCGTGAGTTCCGAAACGTGGTACATGTACACGCCGACACCACACAACAACAACAAGGCGTTATCAAGTGTGAACATACAGTATTCCAAGAACTTCACACTGGATCACTACTATAGCTAATTTACCTAAGTTTATATATTTACAACCGGGACTCATATCACTGTGTTTGATTACTATGGAAGCTAAGGTTTCAAATAGATTCCTCTGAGTGTATTGAAGCCTCTAAATAAAGATGGCTAATAAAAACCAGTTGGATATTAAAACAAACAAATGTATTATAGGAGATTCTTTTGCTTTGTTTTATATACACTTCCGCTGTGACTAATACCGTTATTCAGAACAGTGTGTAGTTATAAAATGTATTTGTTATACATACTTTGTATACACGGTGGTGATACACTGAAAAAAATACTTAGGATTGTAATTTTGATTATTCATCATATTTTTTTCAGGCGATGAAAATTAGATACGACTCTGGACTCGAACACTGGACCAATAAATTGAAGTTAATGTAGAGTAGAATAAAATGTGAGTGATATGAGTGTCAGAAAGTTGTATAAGACCGCGTCAAGAGAAATGCCAAAGGGAAGAATAAAAACAGGCGAGACGGGAAATGGAATACATTGTGAGAGGTATGATGAGGCTTGTGTAAAAGATACGGTAAAGTATGGGAAAAAAGACACAACCGTACAATGAAAAAACAATAAATATACGCGAAAGGAAGGCGAGGAAACACTACGTATATTATAATGACAGGACCTAAAATGCACTGTCACCTCATTAAAGCTGATTGTATTCATCACATTACTTTTATTAATTGTACGTTCTGGGAATTAATTTTGCATAATATAGTGACCTAGGTTTTTTTTTTTTGTTAGCTCTCACTCCAAAAAATATCTTAACTATTTTGTGTGAAACAATATGACACAGCAGACGAAGGATTTTGGCAACCCTATCGAGACAAACAGGCGTCGCAGTGTTCATTTTGAAATTCATCAGACCCCAACTTAAAGATAACTTGAAGAGAGCGTACATACATATTGAGCTACGAATTTACCCTGGATAAAGTAATGCTAAACGTGGAAAACCTGTGATTGATTTTTGCTTTGAACACTTTTTATAATTAGTTGCATATGATGAAAACTTTTGAGGTAAACTTATTAAAAATATAATTAATACATTATAATTATATTTGTTAGCGTCTGTGTATATTTTGTGGGAGATGTTGATATTGAATGATTGCTACAGTTACCTCATGCACCAAAATGTAATGAGTTAGCACCCGAGGCATTCTCAGTCCACTCACCTGACAGTAAAGGCAGTGCCGACCACATTGCCTCCTTGTGCACCGAGGGCTTTCATGTGCGTTGTGACAGTGGAAATGGGGGGTGCTGTAGTGAATTTTTTTTTTATGTATCGTTATTTTATTCAGGGCTGAAAAATTACCGTAACACGTTGTTGGTGGCGGTGATAATGATGGACTCCGTGATTTAATGTTGTAAAAGTAAGCTGCTTTAATCCTGTTTCATACTTCTTAATAATTGGCTCCCTAGGTGTTGTTCCCAAATTGACTGAAACTAAAATAAATTATGAATCATTCGCTTCTAAAGTAATAAAAAAATAGTTATTAAAAGATTCACATACACCGACTCATGGTAACAAAAAGGACTCATCAGGAGGTAATTATATTCATAGTGACGAAAGCCTTGTATAAGCGCTGTCAACCAGAAATTAGTACTATGTGAGTGTAATACTAATTTAAAGTCAACTAAATTACCATACTGCAGGTAAGATAGTGATATTTGTGGCCCGAGACCTGACATGAAAAGATCTGGAATGTTTGATCATGTAAGATGGGAGAATTATTGAATACAACAGGAGAGAAGAATGTGAGACAAAAACGAAACGAACTGTGACAAATAGGAAATTAAATGTATTGTGAAATAAAAAAAAAGGTGTAATCAAATATAGACGAATACAAAAGTCTGTAACAGCGGGAGCAAAGTTGATTATAATAAAAGGGACAGGAAGAGAAAAGAGAGGAGAGAAAACGGAAGTACACGTGATAGAGCAATGTTCGATAGGGGTGATAAGTGAGCGTTACAGGGGAGATATTTAAGAGGGAATAATTTATGCGTGAAACGGGTGAATAAGAAAGTAAATATGCATATATAACAGAGAGCGAGACACACACCCAGAGACCATTATGTATGTCATTCATGCCGCAGATCGGTGAATCAAATCTTCATCTATATTATTTCTTCATTGTTATACGTATGGTTTGAGGGATAGAGTTCATCTACGATATTAACACAGTTCATGAAATTTGTTTTTTACCACAACGGAGAATGTTGCAGTTTATTCCCTTCTCCCGATCATTATGGACGTAAGCCTCGGCGAGTATTAATTCGATCCATTGGACGATATCGTGAGGTTTAATTATACGAGAATCAAATGCTGAATAACTACCTGTATATTTTCCGGATGTTTGTCATGTTTTGTATTAAAGACCTTAGGACAGGTGAAAGAACAAGTTCAGGGCAGGAAGGGCTGCTGAGGGTCACCTGCACCTCACGTACCTCAGCCACCGCCCGTGCGGGGTCCCGCGTCTGCTTGGTTGGCAGGCGAGCCATGCGCGATACACCCCGTAGTATTGATCCCACCTCCCTTACCAGAATGGTCCAGTTCTCCCGGCTTGACGCATTACTAACTGAGCCAGCGCACCATCACCAAATTTTTGTAAAACCAGAGTGAACTAACGGAGTCATCAAAGGATGCCAAGAGGTGTTCCTGTAACTTCTAATTACAGCAACCTGTGCGGCGTTACCCAAAGCTAACGAGGGCGAGTAAGACCTGCCAGTGGTCGCTGATACCACGCCAGCCAGCCAGCCAGCCGTCACCTAGCCGCTATCCACTGCCAGCAGCCAGCCCGGCATAGCCAGTCGCTCCACGTGTGTCAGACGTAGAGGAAGCAAGACCAGTTCGTCTTCTCAGTCTTGATAGCGTTCGTGAGACAGACTATGTTTTATTAGTAAAGTGTCATTTTAAAAGCCAAGCTATTCCATTGAAACTTTCGGAAACTGGAAATTAGTGTGCACTAATTTAGCGGCACCAACAGACGGAATCAAACACTGCACCTTTATCAAGCGCAACAACAAAGTACACACCATCACCTCAAACTAAAGAATCCTGGAGGGTCACAGTTTCCCCAGGCTGGCGCTATTAATATCTCGGTTTCTGAACAATATGGACGTTTTCCCAGTTGTTCTCTAGCAGGAGCTGCAGGAGGTCGCCTGGCTTTGTCACAAACCACAAACGGAGAGGAGAAAAAACAACAAAGCGACCCACCACCTAGTTCCCCACACCTCCACGCTGCTAAGTAAGTGGATCCCACATCCGCTGATCTTGCCATTGTTCACTTGTGTTCCAGAGCGACGTATTATGCCTCACTCTCTCTCTCTCTCTCTCTCAATTATAAATTTACGGATGGGAATTTGGCGAGTTTGACATTTCAATACTGCAATCAGGATAATCAGGATATAAAGCAAAATAGGTGTGATTGCTAACGCAACTAACGGCTGAAGCTGAACATCCTCGATTTTTTTCTACCGAGAAACTTTCGGACGATTTTCAGCCATCTTTCACAGGTTACACCTATAATAATGAATGAAAATATCACCATTCTGTAACTACATAATTCAATATCGTGTATACTTTCATCATGGCGGAAAAACAACTCAACTTAACCTAACCTAACCTACCTACCTAGCCTTACCCAACATACTGTAACTAAAATACAGGGTGGGATAGAAATATCTGACACATTCACAAAGCTGTAGAGACCCATCTGTGTCACTGAAAGTTACTTCTCGCCCACCCTATATATTGTAGGAATAGTTACATTAAATAGGTCAGGTTAGATTTGCCTAGTTCGTTTAACCCTTTTTTTTAATCTTGGTTTCTGTATTTTCTTTATCCAACACGAAATTAAGAAAATCCCAGGTTTAAGACTCGAATAATTGAAATCGACCGACACCATTTACAAACTTTGGGAACTAATGCACACTTCTTAAGTGTCGCTGCCAATTAAAGCTACATTATCTCTTGTTTACTTAACATATGCTTCACACTGCTACACCCACTGAACGCACTTGATTATCTGTGTTGCTTGACTGGTGTTAGTCCTACTGTATCTAGACATAACCGAGAAATATAAATTATAAATTGAGTACAGAGAAACTAGAGGGTTCGGAGAAAATAGGAACTTTATTAGAACCGGATATGTAGAAACCATGCTGCAGTAGTGATATATTCAACTTATTATGACCTAGGGTGGTGGTCCAGGCGTTGAAAGTGAACTGTGAAATTTGATGAGTTTGAGCCAAGCCAAATACAGGATGGGAGTGATTCGTCCAGACACGATCACTGTAGGCGATTAATATAATGATTCAGACGAACCTAAGTGAAGAAAGTTTAGAGAAAGGGAAGGGTGACGGGGGGGGGGGAAGAGAGCTTTGTCATAAAACACCCTCGTTATTTTAGGTTAGATTAGAAAGTTAGTTACTGTAGCATATGTTATTTAGTATTGTGTGTAGAAAACTGAGTAACTACAAAGCCTTATTCGGCAGTCACATATGGTTGCCATACTACAATCTTGGGCTGGCGAGAGATACTGGGAGTGAGTGCCAAAGTAGCAGCACCAGGTAGAGTGAAACCGGGGGCAGGTACAGCAGGTAATTTGAGATTTGACAACCATACATTATTTGGTTCCTAAGAGCGAGTTATTGCTTTGTTGATGCTGTTTGGAGACTCAGCATTACTGGAGTGGCGACTGACTCAGCTGACTATTTCTTGGCACATAAAAGTGGATTCAGACTAGTACCAGTATGCTTGTACAGTACCACCGTGTTCAAGCACCTGGGTAATGCTTGACAGATAACTAGGATACCAATTTCAATGTATTGTATTTTTAAAAGTAACATTGTTCTTTGTCTATTTCTCGAGATGATTATAATGTGGCTTTTTGGAAGATGTATGGTACGCACACAGTAGGTTGACTGTGATCACCACTCCGATAAATGAGAACAAATCACATCAGAACTGTCAGATGTGAGAAGGAAGAGACAATATTTGGTAGTTTTCAGTGGCCCATTCTCCCTAAAAAAAAAAAAAATCAGTGATACGGTTTAGCAAGGAGGGGAGAGTGTCAACTATTCTGAAAGTTTGGTGATGGAATATTATCGAATATCATTACCTTAAGTTTTTTGGGGGAAAAGGAACACAAAATGAGCAAGAACATCATTTATTTCAGACATGATGTAAATTAAGTTACATTTACGATATACTCATTCATACAAGTCAAGCATTACCAGCACTTTTAAGAGAAAGATAAATTCTTAAATAAATAGATTGTTCTGGTAACTTAATTTAAGGGAGAATTAGTAACATGCTGTATATGATTGAGCCTTTCACAGTGTAGTTATTCTCAGTTACACCCGAGGTCACCTTTCCTTTTCTCGAAAATGGGCAACCTGCTGAACGTATCTTATAGTAAATAGTCAATCCACTTGTACTTACTAGAAGCCGTGTAAAGTGGTATAGTTTCTGGTTATTCTAGCAGAGTACGAGTTAGATCATGTATGATACCTACGTTAATCCGGGCAAGATGGTTCAAAGAGCTTCGTCTAACTTATAAGGTTTGTCTGTACTAAGATAGTGGTTCATTTTAAACTTGATTATGTTCACTAAAGCACCTTGCATTGTCAGGTAAGGCATTAAATGTCTGACATTTAAGCCCAAGGACGAGGAAGGTCGATGTACGCGACGTACCTCAACCTTCTCGAGTCATGATGAAGACCACCTACTATACTGTACTCCACACTGAGGTAGTCAAATAGCAAACATTCCGCTAGTAGGTAGTGATAAAAGCTATGTATGTAGTCTGGTATCGTATTAGTAATAATAATACAGAAATAAGAATATTATTTATTTTTCAAATCCACCAGGGGTAGTTAGCAATGCATAGCTCTTGTGTACAGTATAGGCCATGCTGCAGAACCGTACATGTATAGACTTGACACTTTCTGGACTTTAGTAGGGCCACAGACTATCCAGTAATATAAACATAATGTAATAAAATGCCGCTCAATAACTTAACGAAATCCGAGTTGTGACTGGAGTATGCTAAATGCTAGCTACTGGAATACATATACTACAGTACAGCACAAGGAAATAAGAATGACGGTAGAAAATCGAAAGCAAAATGTTAAAAATGAGATATACCCATGGCAACAATAACTCTTATGGTAATAATGGGGGATTTACTATAAAACAAAATTATTCACAATACTGTACTGTACATTATTAAATTGCCTGTACCAAGATTTCCGCCAAATTTTAAGAAACAGTTAGATCTTTTGCTTATGAAGGTTTTCTAAAATAATACTCCAGTGATCATCTGAGTCTTTTTACCGTTTCTTGTACAGTACAGCCAAATGTTGTAATCGAACTTTCGGTGAACGCGATAAACAACAGCAACATAAGTAAATTTGTTGACGACACTAAAATAGGGCGTTTAATTAAATCTGGCGAGGATTCTGCTAAACTACAGGAAGATATTAAAAAATTTTTCGCATGGTCTGAAAAATGGCAGATGGAATTTAATGTGGACAAAAATGTAAAGTACTTAGTCTAGGAAACGTAAACAGAGAAACCAGATATCAGATGAACAACGTTGATATAGAGAAATCCGACTGTGAGAAAGACTTAGGAGTAATGATAAGTAGGAATTTTAAACCAATCCAACAATGCGTATTTGCTCGAGAACATGGCTAACAAAATAATTGGGTTCGTACAAAGGAGTGTTAGTTACAAGATTCATTTGGATTGTGCAGTTCAGTTTTTGGTCACCGTACTGCAGAATGGATATCGAATCCCTAGAAAGCATGCAGAGGGTGATGATAAGATTAATCCCGGACAATAGGAACCTTGAGTATAGGGACAGATTAAAGCATCTGAATCTGCACTCCCTCGAGAGACGTAGAGTGAGGGGCGATATGATCGAGGTGTATAAATGGAAGCCTAGGTTAAAAAAATGTGATATATTAAAGGTACTTAAATTATTCGACCAGGAGCGAACTCGTAGCAATGGTTTTAAATTAGACAAATTTAGATTTAGGCGCGATATAGGTAAACATTAGTTTGAAAATACAGAAGTGGATGAGTGGAAAAGGTTACCCAGAATCATCATGAACTCGAATACGCTAAATAGCTTCAAACATAGGTTGGATGGATATATGAGCGATAGTGGGTTGGGTGTAAACAAGACTGTCCAGTAAGGGCCAATTGGCCTACTGTCATCTGCAGTTTCCTCCATTTTTTTTGTTCCTATGTTATGTTTACTTTAATATTTCTTCATTATAAATGTCTTTCATTAACTTGATTATCATTGATCAGTTTGAAGAAGGAATAACCAACCATCAGCTCACCAACTTTTATATGACATGGGGGTGTACAGTTGATCGCTATTTTAGACTTTCTACCACTATACTGTAGACTCTTCTGTCTTCCTCATGTTTCCCTACATTTTCACCTCCCCCAGAGGGCTAAGCCTCCATGTGACATGTCTTACAGTGATTAGATTTTCACGTACAGTACTACTTACCACGAAAAGTTCTCGAACGTTCTAAGTCATACAATATGACAAAACGAACGAGAAATCTGAACAATGTTCTCTGAGGAAGTTTTATTGCAAATCAAATTACTTCTTTTCACCTATAAAATAATGTTATAAAGACTAGCAAAATATTATTCCGAAATATTGTCACTTTGCAACCACTTATACCAACCATTCTGAGATAACACGAGCCATAGTGTTCATTTTGAAATCTGTCGTGTCCAGCTGTTCGAAAATTTTTGTGGCGAGCGTACGTTGCATATCACTAGTATAGTCATGACTATTGAATGTATTAAATAGATTCAGTAGTGGAAGCTACATTGACAGTTTCCGGTAAACTTATTATTGTACAGTACACCCTCTGTTCTTCATTTCTCGTCTATTTTACATTCTTGTTTCCCATTTCCCTAGTGCCCTCCCCATATACCTGTTGGCTCTCCATCGCTACCCGCCACTACTGTTCTTCCCCTGTTGGTCCCTGCCAGTCCCACACTACTCTCATTTTCTCCAAATTCCTGGGACGAGGCTTATTTCTGCTGGTTGCCAGGTTTGTGTTGTCATCTCACTCGCTCCTCCCAGTCATTTAATGTTCGTACACGACACGCTAAAATTGGAAAGAACTCCTTACTTTGGGTGTAAACAAACGCACTTGAGGCCACACACATATATAATGGTTGATGAAGAGTGGTAGTAACTCTCGACAG